GGGCTACAAAGTGAGCTCAAGGCCAGCCTGAACTGCATAGTAAGACCCTGTTTCAAAAAGACAAAAAAAAAAAAAAAAAATTTAAATTGGGAGTGGTGGCACACACCTGTAGTCTAAGCACTCAGGAAGCCTAAGGCAGGAGAGCTGCAAATTCAACTCCAGCCTTGACAATTTAGCAATTTATCCAGACCCTGTTTCAAAACAAAAAATAAAAAAGAGCTGTGGGTGTTCCTCATTGCAAAGGTCTTGGGTTCAATCTTCAGTACCACCAAAAAGAAAAGGAAGAGAAAGAAGAAGGAGGAGGAGGAGGTAAAGGGGAGGAGGGAAGAAGGGGTGCGCCACCAAATTGCCCAAGCTGGGCTTGAATTTGTAGTCCTCCTGCCTCAGCCTTCCAGAGTGAAAATATAGTGAAATAATAATTCCAATTTCCTGGGGCTGCTGGGAAGATTAAAATAGATAATAAATATAAAATGTTCAGTAGCAATCTTGGCTCACCATATGTGTTTAGTATAAATTACACACATATTTACACAAGGGCCGGTCTGGTGGTACACAACTATAATTCCAGCACTCTGGAAGGCTAAGGCAGAAGGATCAAAAGTTTGAGTCCAGCGGGGGCAACTGAGTGACTTAGTGACATCCCGTCTCAAAAATATAAAAGAAGGGGCTGCAGATATAGCTCAATGAGAAGACCTGGGTTCAATTCACAATTTTAAAAAATGACACTTGTACCAAATGATTTATTCACTCAATGAATGTTACAGTCAGGTAAAATGTTAGTATCACAAACGTGGCAAACAGCAGCCTGCTCTGTGGAGCTGAAGAACTAGTGGGACACACACAGTCATGGCATTGTTCCATGAGTGAAGAATTACAGATCGCAACGGAGAGGGAAAAGTCCAAAGAACTAACACAGCAAATAAACAGCAGCCCCCTAGCTAGTCATTTTTTAACCCAGGTGAGGTGATTACAGATGTAATATCATGTTTTCCGTTTTCTCTTGGTGAGATAAAGATCCTTTATATGTGCAATATACTGGACACTTTGCAAAGATCTTTTTGTTTTGTATTTTGGTTTTTGAGACAGGGTCTCACTATGTGCCCCAGGCTAGCCTTGAACTCTCAGTGATCCTCCTGCCTCAGCCTCCCATGTACCTTTTTACAGTTGAGTTTTTCACATGGTCCTTATACTAGGTTTAGGCAGAGATTATGATCCTCGTTTTACAGAAGTGGTAACTAAGATACAGGGAGGTTATATTACTCCCTCAGGGTCACAGCTTGATTGCACTGTTAGAAATGCAGAGGTCAGAATCCAAGAGGTGGCCTGGGATGTACCTGAGTGGTAGTGCACCTGTCAATATACATAAGGTTGGCCAGGCATGGTGGCACATGCCTGTAATCCCAGCACTCGGGAGGCTGAGGCAGGAGGATCGTTGCGAATTCGAGACCAGCCTGGGCTACAAAGTGAGCTTAAGTCCAGCCTGAACTGCATAGTGACACACACACACACACACACACACACACACACACACACAAAACCATATGCATGAGGCCCTGAATTCCATTCTAGCAATCACAAAAAAAAAGGAAATACACTATTGTTCAGAATATATTTTTAAAAATAGTGAAAAACAACAGATGTGCAAGCAAAGAAAACTTTCGATCTTATTTATTTATTTTTATTTATTTATGTGAAGTACTGGGGATCAGACCCAGGGCTTTGTGCCCTATGTACCTCTTCCCAGAAATAACGCTGATGGTAAATTTTGCATTCTCTTGCCTTTTAAAAGTTTTTTTTTTTGTTTTTTTCATATCACTTGTGTGTTTAACAATGTTCCTGGGCATGGTGGCATACGCCTGTAATCCCAGCACTCTCGAGGCTGAAGCAGGAGGATCTTTGTGAGTTCGAGACCAGCCTGGGCTACAAAGTGAGCTCAAGGCCAGGCTGAACTGCATAGCAAGACCCTGTCCCAAAAAGACAAAAAAAGCAACACAAAAAACCAACCAAACAAAAAACCAATATATTACTATTTTGCTCCATGTTTAACTTTATATAAATCACATCTCAGTGTATGTATGTTTCTACCACTTGTTTTTACCCCCAACATTTTGTTTGGGAGACTATCTACACTGATGATATTTATACTGGTAATTAATTTCCACAAATATTTCATTATATGATTATACCACAATCTAGCATTCCCCTGTTAGCAGACATTTGGGTTGTTTGCAGTGTTTTGCTCCTATAGGCTTCTTTTGCAAGATAAATGGAATTTAAGAGTGTGAGAGAGCTTGGGATGCAGCCTAGGATGCAAAAGGACCTGGGGTTCAGCACAAATCTAAAAAACAACAACAAAAAGAAAAAATGATGAGGAGGCTGAGGCAGCAGGACCTCAAGTTTCAGCCTAGCATGGTAACTCAAGGATTTATCAAGTCCCTCCCCAAATCTCAAAGTAAAAAAAAAAAGGCATGGGAGGTGTTGCTCAAGCCTCAGTACTGCAAAACAATATGTGTAAACACCTTCTCAAGATAAGTTTTGTAAATTGAAAGTCCATTCCTATATTTGCATTAATAATAGCACTGTGTAATAACAGGGTCTGTCCTTTATTTCCAGTTTACTATCAGCCAGGAACTATGTTAAGTACTGTATGCACATTTTTTCCATTTAATTCTCCTCGCGTCCCTATTTGGTATTATATTAATACTTAGGTGAAGAAATATTTTACACGTAATGAAACTGAGGTTTGGGAAGTTGGAGTTTGCTCAACATTTGGATAGACAAGATTGCAACTCAGTTTAACTGTTTCCTTCCAATTCATTCTATGTCTCAATATCATATTATGGAGTAATAAAAGCCAAATGTAAGATCTGTGAGTATCTCCTACATAATTTTTTTCCTACTTTTTTTTTTCTCTGGCTTTTTGAGAGACGGTCTTGCTATGCCGTTCAGGCTAGCGTTGAGCTCACTTTGTACCCCAGGAAGGTCTCAAACACACAAAGATCTTCCTTCCTCAGCCTCCCCAGTGCTGGGATTACAGGCATGCGCACCACACCCGGCAGTTTTTTTTTTTTTTTAAAGTATATAATGCAGTCAAATGTTTAAATTCCAAATGTTCCAAACATAATGTCTGATGCTTGCTTTTCTTGACGAATATCACAGGCAGTATAAGCTGGTGGTCTTTGGAGCAGACTCCCTGGATTGATTCCCAGCTCTACTGTAAGCTGGTTGAGACATGGAAGATATCATTTAACCTTTCTGTACCTCATATTCCCTATCTGTAAAATGAGGGAAAGAAG